ATAGCAATTAAAGTTCATTAATTCAAAGTGAATCCATGCGTACAATGCAATCCTCGAAAATATCAAATTCCTAAAAAGTGACTGCTCTTACCCCATTTGGGGCATAGGAACAGTGCCAAAAATGGCTCCTACAAAAATTCCCTAAATTTAGCAAATTAATCTCCTAATTCCCTATACACCAAAACTATGTCAGACATATTCACGGGTAAGGAAACAGGCCATTTGGCTATGGAGCTCAATTAATTGGGTAAAGAATAAATGGTCAGGCTCAAAGTGGTTTCTTCTAAAGGAACTTATTTAGGTGGGGTGGGTGATTAATGGAAAATTCTATGGGTGACTAATGCCTTCATCATCTCAACAATTAGATTATAGTGCAATAATTTAAGCCTAAACACTTCAAAGATGTTCAAAAAACATATTCAAAACGTTAGCCAGTTCACAAAGACATAGTTTAAAGAAAAAAATTCAAAAATTTTGACATGACTTTTCTATGAATATACAACTAACACTTGCGCATGCAAACTCTAATAATCACATGTAATAACTACTGCCCGAATGTCCAATTCACTCCCCCACACTTAAACTTTGGCATCGCCCTCGATGACAAAAAATGCACTATGCACAAGGGGTAAAGAGGAAAGGGTCACGCGTGCTCAATCTCAACTCAAATCAACATTTACATAACAGGCGATAATAAGAGTCGCAGAAACTTCCCTAAGGTGATGGTCGATGCAGAACTAAACTGAGTCAATGTAATCCTCGGCACATCATCTCTACAACAAGACCCTGAGCTGCAACAAAAACACAAAGCAAAACAACCAAACAACAAACAAAGCAAAAGCAAAATCAAAAGCAGAAATAAGCTCGGGTTGCCTCCTGAGAAGCGTTATTTTTAACGTCGAGTGTCCGACGATACCTCATAAGCTCTCAAATAGCACAGACTGTAGTGGTGCACTAGTAATTAACGTTTCCAGCTTCCTCTCAACCAATGCCATTAAGTGGCGCAGATTCTTAAATTCTTGAAAACACTTAGGAAGCGCATGGTCTTCATAACCCTCATCAGCACAGAAGTGAAGTATGAAACTCTCATCCTCTTCGGGCGGATACGGAACATGAGTGAAAACTTTGATTACTCTAGGTGTCATTGGAAGCTCAAAACATGTCTCAAAGCAAAGATTAGGAGCAACACCGTGATCGAACTGCACCATAGAAAAGTCTTTTTCTTCTCCACAAATATCATGAACATTCACAACCTATCCTCCAGACTCTGTATCACTCCTCATGAATGCATCCCAATTCGTTTCGTCACTCTTCTTATTAATATCCTCCAAGCAGTTGTGATCATTCTCCACACACAAAGAAATATCATCACCAAGGAATGGATCAAAGAAATCCAAATCTGAAACCATGTAAGAGTGGACCGGTGCATGTGTACAAGAAGGGAATTCTTGCTTGTGGAGCGGGACTTCTTCATTATGGACATTATCTACCTCGCCCCCACTCTCTTGGAGCATGTTATCATCTTTTCCCAACTCATCTTCAGTACCCAAGCCTACCTCAATGGCTGCATCAATGTCATGACTAATCTGCTCCTTGCCATCCTCAGGTGTTGAGACTAATGGTAAATCAAACGGCTGGGGAGTTTCTATATGAAAATCACAGTAATTAGTGACTTTATCAGTTACAGCTTGTACCGTTTCAAACCTTTTTCTATATTCTTGGAAAAACAACTTGACACTATTATCTTCTTCTTCATCTTCAAACATAGGAGGGTCTTCAAAAGCATCAGGAAGTGTATCATTCATCATATTTCCACCATCATAGTCTGACTCAATCCCATGATCATCCCTATTGGTCTCCTCAGATTGGGCTTTTGTGTCACTAGGATGGGATCTCTCGGACTCCTCAGATAATGCGTTAAACAGCTGATCCAAGTGATTTTCCATGTTCTGAAGACTCAACTGCGTTGATTGATGATGCGCCTCAGTTGCTTGCATGAATTGCTTGAGTGTTTCTTCCAGGTCAGACAGCTTCTCTGAAATTATCTCTTCCAATTCGTCATCTGAATCTTGTGGCTCATAGCTCGGCAAAGATGTAGGCATGATTGAAACATTTGTGTTTGTAAGTTGTGGGGATGACGAAGTGGGGTATGCAGTTGCCCAGTAAGGATGGTCGTATGGAGGAATGGGACAAAGACATGAATTTTGTAAGAAAATATATTACTCCCTAATAATATGGATTTCATTTTGTCCAATAATTTGTCCTTGGATAAATTACTCCAACAATAATTACATTTTTATAAAAACTAAAATCATTGTCCAACCTTGCCACCATAAATCATGAAAAGTCAATATGACAAACTTTTTGAGATGGAGGTAGTATATTTTTATAAAGATTGTTATTTATTACCATAAAATTAATGTCTGTTTTTCAACTAAATTTAATTCTACGATCACAATTAATTACCAATTTTATAAATGAATTTAGTAAGGATTGAATTCTTTTAATTTAATACTCCTTTCATCCCACAAATGTTTGTCAATTTTCATTGTTTAGAAGTTGAAATTTTATTTCATTTCTATTTAAAGTAGCTATAGTAAATGTATGATTAAAGTTAATTCTCTCTCATTTGATTTGCACAGATTTTGATCACACAATTTTAACTTTATTATTTCATTGGCCAAAACGCATACTTGAACATGTAAATTGTTTATTTTTAAGGAAACTGAATCATGAGATTTAGATGTTGCTAAAGGAGAGATGATAATATAAATATCATGTTTACCTTACAAAGTGGAATTGTGGATGTATAAATGCATCTTCTTATAAGATTGTGAAGTGAATTTAGCATAGGAAATGTAAGAATGTAAACTATATTGTTGGATTTGATTTTTTTGTATATATTGTATGACATTTTTGTAAAATATTTCCTATTTTACCATATAAAAAATTTTCCACATGAGAGATGGTAAAATATTTTACATATTTTTTATAAAGTTGTGAAATTACTTTGTGTGTTATTTAAAATTAAATTAAGCAATTAATCAAACAATGTATTTGTATTAGTACATACAAAGTTGCTTCTCTAGACTTCATAAACAGTCGTTTTGAGTCAGTGCCCTCCTTACACTGCAAAGTCGTTTCACGGCTCCTACTTTCTTTATCATGTCATTATCTCTTATCACCTCCAGTCGTGAACTTGTTCCCTCCGCTCATTGCCATTCACATCCATTAGCCTTAACTGCGTACTATGCGCTCTTTCCAGCCCTTTTGTGCTACTATCCATAAGTTAGGAAAAAATACTTCTACGTGTCCAATTACGCAACAAAAAAAACAAAAAACCATTCCTTATATAGAAAATCTACCAGAACCAACTCACTCGCCCCTTTTCAGTTTCCTTTTTACATCTTTCCCTATATCAAGAATAACGGGAGTGCGCAAAAAACGCTTCCACGTATCTCTAAAATAATATTCATCAACATGAACAAAAGAGTCAATAGAGTTTTCAACATTGTCTACAATTTTGTATTTGAACTAAAATTATTCTTTACCAAGCGAAATTTTTAAGAGAGGAACCCTATCTCCCATATTTTGCATCACAATCAAATTATAGTCAAGCAACCATAGACTATCATTTAGATTTGTGTTCAAATAGCGTCATGGTGAGATTGGAATACGTAACATCCACATCCCTAATAAGTCTATTTCAAAAATATTCTTTGTATCGGTCCAGTTCAGCCCAATGCCCTGCTCTATCCGTGATTATTAGAGAGCAAAGTATAAATAGGAGTGTCGAGAAACTAATATACTCCGTATACAAGAAAGAAAGATGGGAAGAGCCGAAGGATGGACAAGATTACGGACAGCCGCCATTTTGTTCAACGCCATATTGATGGGCATCGGAAGCTGCGGTAACCCTCTTCTCGCGCGCCTCTACTTCATCGGCGGCGGAAGCCGGATATGGTTTACAACCTGGCAGCAAACCGCCGCTTGGCCAGTCACTTTCATCCCTCTTTCCGTCTCCTTCATCTACCACTGTCGCCGCCGGAGCCAGACAAGTGACTCCGGTGAGTTCCACCACATCACGCCGTTTCTTTTCATCTCCGCCTTTCTCATCGGCCTTCTGATGGGCCTTAACAACTACCTCTTCACGTCCGGTGTCGCCAAACTTCCCGTCTCGACGGTGCTTCTGATCGCGAGCTCTCAGCTCGCGTTCACGTCGCTGTTCGCTTTCATCCTCGTGAAGCAGAAGTTTACGGCGTTCACGATAAACGCTGTCGTCTTGCTGACCTTATCGGCGGTTGTTTTGGGCGTCCGGGCGGGAAACGAGTTATTAATTATTATTATCAACTTATCATTGTTCGAATCATTTATTACTAACAATCAATCCATTATTTGTTTAAAAAATTGCAGAGCAGAGGACCTCTCACTCAAGGTTTTATTCTACACTCTAATTCTAAATTATTAAAGCATTATGGCAGTTTATTATTATAATTGTATTCTTTAATCATCATTTCTTAAACGTACTTCACATTCAATGATTAATGAATTAATTATATAGACAACTAGTGTAGTTTTACTTTCCTATGTTATTAATTTTATATTTGTAACTAGGGAAAAATAAAAATAACTAATTTTATTACTTTTTTATTTGTATAGATACAATGTCCATGTATAATTTTGTCACCGTTACAAGAACACGTCGTGATGTAATTCATAATGAAGCTAGTGGGTCTCATACTTTTAAACAACCTCGGATTGAGGTCAATGTAGATGATTTGCCCACAGACCCTGGATTACGTCCAAAACTTAGTAGTTATCATCCAAATGATCAAGACAAAGTGAGAAGGTTTTATTTGCAAAAAGGGCCTTGTCAGCCGCACACTCATAATTTTCCTCAACGAGTATTTGGTAATAAGTCCAGAAGATTTTGCCCCTCTTGGTTCAATGAATTTGAAAGTTGGTTAGAATATAGCATAGAAAAGGATGCTGCATATTGTTTGCATTGTTATCTATTTAGAGTTGATTTTGGAAAACAGTCTAGTGGAGATGTATTTGTTACCACAGGATTTTCTAACTGGAGTGTTAAGGGCAGACTTCAAAATCATGTTGGAGTGCCAAATAGTGCACACAATATTGCCTACAGAAAGGCTGAAGATTTGATGAAACAAATCCAACATATTGATCTTGCCATCTCCAAGCAGTCTGATCAAGTTCGTGAAATATATCGGCACCGATTATCTGCTTCACTTACTTGCATTCGCTTCCTTTTGAAACAAGGGTTACCTTTTCGTGGCCATGATAAATCTGAAGCATCTTCTAACCAAGGTAACTTTCTTGAACTTCTAAAGATTCTTGCAGCTTGTAATGAAGATATAAGAAAATGTGTTTTGCAAAATGCCCCTGATTGAGGTGTTTGAGTCCATACAAGTCCTTTGAAGCATTTGACAAGCTCAAGTTGATTGAATTTGCTACATTTTACCCAAGTGATTTCTCGAGTATGGAGTTGGTAGTTCTTGAAAATCAGTTGGAGACTTATATTATTGATATACGAAGTAATGATGAATTTTCAGAGTTGAAAGGAATTGCTTGCCTCGCAGAGATGTTGGTGAAGACGGGGAAACATCGTGTTTATCAGTTAGTTTATTTGCTTCTGAAGTTAGCACTGACATTACCTGTTGCTACAGCCAAGGTTGAAAGAGCTTTTTCTGCGATGAAAATTGTGAAAACCGAGTTTCGAAATCGGATGGGAGATGATTGGATGAATGATTGTTTAGTTCCTTATATAGAAAGTGATGTGTTTGATAGCATTGACGATGAGTTAATTATTCAACACTTTCAAAATATGCAAGCACGCCGAGGACAACTATAGAGGTACATTTTCTTTTACTATATCTATGTATATTTATTTAGTCTTTTTTTTATTCTCATGTAGTATATAATTAGTGTTATATGTGTGCATACACTGAGCTCCGATGCCTAGGTCCGCCACTGGAAACGACCGTCCGGCGGGGGAGTCGAGGAAGGAGTATATTATGGGGTTTGCTTTCACAGTTGGGTGTGCAGCTTTGCTGGGGTTGCTTTTGCCGTTGGTGGAGTTGAGTTATAGTAAGGTGAAGATGGCCAGGACTGAGTATAGTATGGTTCTGGAATTTCAGATGGTTCTGTGTTTTGCTGCCACTCTTTTCTGCACGGTTGGAATGTTAATCAACCATGATTTCCAGGTAATATAGGGCGCCTTATTCTCCAAACTACTTGAATGTTTTTGTTGAGTGATTTTCGGGGAGCATATATCGAATATACCGTACAAAGTTAGAGAATGATAAAATATTTCTAAGGGAGTTTTCCCTAGATGACTAAATAATGGCAGAATTGCAACAATAGGAGCTCCAAAAGTTTTAAATTGAGATAATTATCTTAGATAGTGACTAAATCTCTCTCACTTTCCGACCTAATTACTTTTTTCCCAAAATAAAATTTATAAAATTTAATTAATTTTGTAATTAATCAATAAATAAAGGGATAAGGGTCAGATAGGGCCTCGAACTTGAAAAAAAATGTCAAATAAGGCCATATTTAGGATGCTCTGTCCGGCCGACGCCATTTGAGGTGGTTCCCGGTGGAATTTTTTGATGAAATTTTTTGAGAATCTTATTCACTAAGTCTAGTTTACTCATATCAAATTTGAACTAACAATTCAATCGGGAAGGCATTCAAATGAATTCATGAAGATAACTGCGCTTTTAACGGTACAGTTATCTTCAAGAATTCATTTGAATGCCTTCCCGATTGAATTGTTAGTTCAAATTTGATATGAGTAAACTAGACTTGATGAATAAGATTCTCAAAAAAATTCATCAAAAAATTCTACCGGGAACCACCCCAAATGGCGTCGGCCAGACAGAGCATCCTAAATATGGCCTTATTTGACATTTTTTTTCAAGTTCGAGACCCTATCTGACCCTTATCTCATAAATAAATTATTTTTATGGACTAATATGTCATTTAGGTTATACTATAAAACCATATATACTCCATATAACCTTCCATCTCTTTTCTCCAACACTAGCCTCTAGTCTCCAACCCTAATTGCACGGCCGCCTACCATTCCCCGACTCGCCGTCCAGTCGCACGGCCGCCGCCGTCAAGTAGTACTGCCGCCGTTTAGTAGCACCGCCGCCTAGCCCCTCACTCGATCTCCTTCCTCTTGCCTTCACATGCCACATACGATGCCCAGCACGCAGCCTGCCTTGTACCGTCATTGATGCCCCGATGTTGTAGGCCAAGGAGCCGCATTGGTCCGTGGGCGGCCACAACTACGTACAACCACCGGCACTTTCAAGGTCGGGCCCTCCATGACTCTACAGAAGAGGAAGATGCAGTAGCTCTACCTTCCCTCCCCTGCCATCATATTGTTGACCAATTTCGTATGGAGGGTCTTTGTTTGTGGTTAATCAATTTAGGATTTGTGGGGTTTTTCTTACTTTAGTTTTGGGAAAACTGTCAAAATAGGTCCTCGAACTTTCATAAAAAAGTCAATTAAATCCTTCTACAGGAGACTCTGTCTGTTTGTCGCGATTTGGGGCGGTTCTCGATGGAATTTTTTGATGAAATTTTTTGAACATCTTATTCATCAAGTCTAGTTTACTCATACCAAATTTCAGCTAAAAATTTAATCGAGAGCGCATTCAAATTAATTTGAGAACGCAAAAATGCGCAGTTATCTTCAAGAATTAGTTTGAATGTGTCCCCGATTGAATTTTTAGCTGAAATTTGGTATGAGTAAACTAGACTTGGTGAATAAGATGCTCAAAAATTTTCATCAAAAAATTCCACCGGGAACTGCCTCAAATCGCGATGGCCGGACAGAACCTCCTATAGAAGGACTTAATTGACCTTTTTATGAAAGTTCGAGGACCTATTTGACAGTTTTCCCTTTATTTTTTAAATTAAGGTTTGTGACATTGAACATGAGTTTGGAGCAATTACATAAAGATAGGTTTGGAGCAATTTGTTGGACACGAAGACAAATTTAAAGTAAATAAAACTTTTATATGTCAATTATTTGTTACTCGGATTATTTCTCTTCGGAGCTACTCTTGTATGTTATAAGTCAACCGTTTTTTTTTTGAAGAAATAGGCTTAAATTGATAACACATCATTCAGATAGTAGGTAAACCGACAAAAAGACTCCTGAAAACCGCCGCCCCTCGAACCAGACTCAGAGTTTATCACCTTGACAGAAGCAATATAACTCGCTGATCCATTAATGCGCACAAATGAGCCAAAAACGGTTAACGCAGTCCTTCCATCACCTATATCCAAATCCACAGTTTTACAGCAGAAAACAAAAAATGCACGAAAGTAAATAGCATAATCCAAACAATTAAAATAAATAAAAGCTAAAAAATAAAAGTCTTGTCTCAGCTTTTCGATCACCACCATCCTCCACTTTCGTGGTGGCGGTTCAGGGGGAGGTCGGACCAACAGTACTGCATCTTCTTCCTCATCATGCTCCTTGTTAATCAAACTCCTGTTCGTACCTTCACATTGCCAAACGCCAAACGTCAATGATTTATTATTTATATGTCTATCTCTCTCGTGTCAGAGATCGATTCATGTTAGCCGACCCCGAATTTTTTTGAGATTAAGGCTTGGATGTTGTTGTTGATGTTTATCTCTCTCATGTCACATTATCAAAATTATATATAAAATCGTGGAAAGAATGAGAAAGAAATGGCAGTGATTTATTTTTTATATGTCTACCTCTCACATGCTACATGTTTTAATACAATGCGACGTGTAGCATTGGAGATTTCTAATTCTCATATGAATATTTAGGGCTTCATGAATTAATGAATATAATCCGAAGCATATAGGCAATAGGATAGTACTTCAATCTCATTGATCTAGAATCTTTAAATTACAACTCATTTATAATTATTAATTCTTTTGTACTTCTTGGAAATAAATGGGGTGGTTCGATGTAGTTTTATCAGTTTAGTTTTCTAGAATAGTTACAAAGTCATACTCCCTCGGTATTTATATGTTCGCTTTTGGCACAATGTTTTAGGAGAAAATAGTAGAGGTAATGAATAGTGTAGAAAAAGTAGAAGAAAAGGTGGAAAAGTAGAAAAGGAAGATAAAAAATAGAAAAAGTAAGGGTAGATGAGTATTTTTAAAGAAAAAACTTACCAAAAAGGGAAAGTGTAGCAAACTTTTAAATCCATCCAAAAAAAGGAAAGTGTAGCAAACTTTAAAAAGGGGTAATCAACTATAGAATTATGCGTTCTTGACTTCTAGATCTACCAACACCTAACACATACATTACCAATAAATGCCAGATGGTGCCAAAATAACACACATTATTGGATCTGCCCAAGTTTGTCAATTGTCACTTACTAGTAGTGACCTCATTTACTAGTAGTGACGTAATGATGAATAGAATTTGTTTTTGTTGTTCAGTTTTGAATTCCTTTCTAGAACATTTAGCTTAATTTCCAAATATCTAAATTTTAAACACTAATCATAATTCAAATTGTGTGAAGAAAGATGATAAGCCATAATTAAAAATGACAAAGTTAAGCGTTGGTCACGTTTAGTATTCTTTATAGGAGAAATTTGGTTATTTGCTTGGGAACTACTACGTTCACCAACTAAAATTGTGATAGGAAATGAACAATTAATACGATTATTCAAAATTAAAATTATGTAGTTGAGATTGATTTTGTTAAATATGAACAAGTTCTCTCTTTTTTTGCGAGGAAATGTGAACAAGTTCTGTTCTATATTATGGTTAGGATTGCCTAAAGCTGAGATCATGCTAATTTTAATCCACCCACTATTACTTGAAGGCTATTATAATCATTATCAGCTCAACCCGATAAAACATTAACATTCAAATATCCGAAAATCAGCAGATTCCATCCATCAATATAGCCATTTCATATATTTCAGCAGAATCAACCGATTCATCAATTTCAGTGTTATCAAACATTCAAACGGGTTATAACTTTTTATCACACCAGCTAAATGTTACAAAGTATTGTAAGGGACAAACTTAATTAATTAGTGGGATGAACATAAAAATGAGAAAAAAAATGTGGAAGGGAAGGAGAGTTATACAATGTGTCAAATTTTGTTTATTACTTCCTTTGTACCCTATTTAAGTTCTCACTTTCCTTTAATTTTTGGATGTCCCAAACAAGTTCACACTTCCTTATTTGGCAAACAAACCTACACCAAAACAATGTCAAACAATGTCAAAACATTGCAAAATAGTGCACTCTATAGTAATATTTACCCCTCAATAAATCTATTTCATTAATATGTGTGAAGTCAAATGTAACTAAGAACTTAAATAGAGTACGGAGGGAGTACAAATTATTCCATTATCCATATTTATTGTTTACTAATTTGCAAAATGCTATTGGTATTATCTACACTCCCTTATTAGTTATCGGTGTACATAGACAATTATTTCTGAAATTGCCTTACATATAGACAACTAGCTAGAAAAGATAAATAAAAAATGAGTACAAAATATGTGTACAGATATATACCAAGCATTCCTTACAAAATTTGTTTAAATTGTGCAGGCAATAACAAGGGAAGCAAGAGAGTTTGAATTAGGAAAAACAAAGTACTACTTGGTAATAGTGGGGAATGCAATATTTTCACAGTTCTATTTCGTGGGAGCCCTTGGAGTGACGTCTTACGGCTCATCTCTGCTGTCTATGGTCATCATCACCGTCCTCCTCCCCATCACGGAGCTATTGGCCGTCATCTTCTATCACGAGAAGTTCCAGGCCGAAAAGGGCATTTCTCTTTTCCTCTCCCTCTGGGGATTTGTTTCTTACTTCTACGGAGATGTAAAAAACAATATCAACAAAAAGAACCAGCAACCGGCGGCCCAGGAAATTGCCGAGTTGCCCTCTTCCGTCATTTCACCGTCAAGAAGTGTGACCGGTCCTTGAAGTCGTAGCGCAACACAAATCGCAGTCCATTTCATTGGACCGGCCGGCCGGCCGGCCGGCCGGCTTTCATCATCTGCTTTAGTCTGTCTAGTACTTTAGTCGCATGATAATGGTCTTCCAAATGCTTTGTGTAGTGCTTGTCACTTGAAATTCAATGTCTTGGATAGTGAGTGGCATTTTAAGTTTAAAAAATGTCATTCTTGACTACTGAGTGTGTAAAAATAAGAAGTAATTAATGATTTGTGTGTGATTTAAATAAAAATGATTTATTAAAATGTGATTTAAATAAATACCATAGATAAAATGTTACGTAGTACTCCGTACTTCCTATTCACAAACCGATGACTATATTTGTAATTTTCATTGTCTATGGTTATGGATATTTCACTTGCTTCTCATATAAGTTTAATTTACTCTGATAAATGTCTTTTATAAATGTATTTTATAACTATCAAAGTCTTTTCTGGTCTGACCTAGGCCGGTTGATCTAATTTGGTCTATTAAAGTCTTATCTAATCTGATCGGTTTGAGAAATAAGTCTAATTAATCAACTTCAATTGAGTCTGAACTAGTCTTGTATACTAATAATGACCAAATATTATAAGATTTATTGTCAAATAATTAAAATGAAATTTATATTTTGTGAAAGAAGAAAGATGATACTATAAAGCGGCGAGCTCCTGGTGGATTTGATCTGCTAACCTTTCCTCTTCGATTGGCAAGAGTTTTCGATGATGGCAACGTTCTTTGTGCACAAAGAACCTTTGATTAATCAAAGGTTTCCTATGCTTCCGTTTTTTTTTTCTACCTTCTAGGATTCTGGTTTTGGTCGGCTTCTTCGATCGAGAGTTTTGTCCGCTTCAAGTGAGCAGAGATATGTTTTCCTCCTATAAATGTCTAGAGGCTATGTTCCTCGTCGGTGTAACAGAGCGGGCAGGGGCGTAGTCAGGACGGATGTGAGATGTCTACCCTAGACCGACTTTACACTAAAAACATTATATAAAAATTTTAGAAGCGACAATAGTGTTCACATAACGATTAAAATCCATTAAAATTCATAGTAATATTATTAAACAATACATACAATGTCTGAAACTAAAACTGAACACAATGCTCTTTGGCCTTAGCACTCATCTATGACAGACTCACGTCAATTTTGTTGGCAAATTCCTTTTCAATAAAGATGGTCAAACGATCGGCAAGAAATTCATCTTTCATCTTGTTACGAATTTCATTCTTCACAAGTTTCATTGTAGAAAATGATTTTTCTGTTGTTGCGGTCGAAACAGGTAAAGTCAATACAAGATGAATTAATCTTGTAACCATTTTGAAGTGTTCTACCTTTCCAGATTTGACCAACACTTCACTCAACTTCGCAAGAGAATGAACTTGAAAGTTGAAAGTGAGAAATTTAGTAGCCATACCTACTAAAATTACCAAAAAATAAATAAATAAAACAAATCAATATTTTATTTTAATTCATATTAATATTTTAAAAAATTCACAAATCACATTTGACATTCCTAATTTTCAATTTCACAATTCAAAGCACAAAATTACACAAATCAATTGTAACACACCAAGTCACTACTCACTAACACAAACTAATTTAACAAATAAAATGCTTAATTAATCTAAAAATTGTAATAAATAAATATAAAAAAAAACTTACCTTGGCTGGCGCAGATGAGCAGAAGGCAGAACCACTCAAGCAGTCAAGAGAGAGGAAGACAGCAGTAGGACGGCGAATCGACGGTGCTGGGTGAGCGGCTGAGCCGAGGCGTGCGTGATTGTGTCTGGTGGAATAGCAGTGACGACTGACGATGCGGTGATGCCTGATGCGCGTCGTTGGCTTGGCTGCTGCGTTAATTTCCCTTCATTACTTTAGAGCTTGGACTCTTACGCAATTACACTGGGCCATAATGTTTGTCTAATGGGCCGGTTTTATTTTTGCTCCGGGCCAGTTTCTAAAACAATTTGAAAACTATACATAATATTAAAAAAAAATTGCCCTGGGACATGGCCCAGCCAGGCTACCCCCTGCCTCCGCCCCTGAGAGCGGGTGTTCATTTTTGTTGTTCATGGTTGGCAAGGCTTGTTCAACCTAGTTCTTGTGATTCTTCATTTATTCGTCCTCCTCATGAACACCGCCTCACTTTGAAATTAGAAAGTAGTTAGATCTCCTTTTTGTGGCTGGTCAAACTAATGATTCGACCAAATTTTGCTCAATTTAGTTTCCTTTGTTGATTGCTTGTTAAATCAATTTCAACTTTTCGGTGACGGATGAAACCAAATTTTTTATTTGTAATTTTTTTTCTTTGAAGTAGCAAGTTTAGCAAGGCTGTTAGACTAGATTACATTATTGCGGGTCAGTGATCTTGAAGAATTTATGAGAAAGTTTCGATTTTATGTTTCACCCTATTTTAACCTTAGATTATTCATCAATTGTTTCTTTGTTATCATTGAATAAATTAATTATTTGATTTAAAAATAATAATGATTAAAAAGTAATTGCCCCATATAAGACTAAAAGAGGGGAGAAATTCTTAAATAGAACAATAAATGTTTTATTCCCCAAATAGGATCATATTACTCCTATTTCAAAACCTACGTAATTTCTCATTCCATATTTATCCCTGTTTAATCGATGGATCGAGAATTTCTTCTGCACAGAACCTTATCCCTCTCTCTCTTGCGCACCATACTCCTTCTCCCACTCTTCTCGATCTATACCTTCTCTGCAATATAGGAGATCCACCCATCTCCCCTTCACCAATCGATTTTTTCTCCATTGCCTAGCAGATCGATCGTCTGCTCCATCTCTACATATCAGATCGATCAACTTCACCACACTGTATGTACGCCGTCGTTGATTTCATCCTTAGCCATCGCCGCCGCCGCCGCCGACGAATTTACCGCGCGCATGCCGCCGTTTGGTAAGTTTTCTTCTTCGTTTTCTTCTTCTTCCTCCTCGTCCTCCTATTATTCTATTTTTTGGCTTTGAAACCGATTTTTTTGATTTTTCCTTCGTTCCTCCGTTTTTTTAGTTTTGACATTTGATTTGTTGATTTCTAGACTTCTATTTCAAATTTCCGTTTCTTGATTTCTTGACTTTAAAATAACACCAATTTTCTAGATTTTTGGACAATTACATATGATTTTGCCAAGTTTATGCCATATGCCATATGTTTGGATGATGACATACGATTTTGCCAAATTTATGGCAGAAATGTACTCTGATAATCATATTATGGCAAAACATTTTTTTTGTAAATTTTTTTATTTATATTTTTTGTCATTAAATTCTTATTTCTGTTAAAGTTATTGTTCTATTAATTTTTTCTTTTTTGAAAGTTTAGTTGTGGACTTCATATTTTGCCAAGATTATGGCAGTTTTGTGTAACTCGGTCAAGATAAATCTGCCAATTACATGGCAAATCAGTCATTTTTTGTCATTAGCTTCGTTTTCTAATTTCTGATTGTGGTAACGTGCTTATTCTATTAATTAATTTATTTTTTTGAAATATTCTGATACTGAATTCATATTTTTGCCAAATTTATGGCAATTTTGTGTTAATCTTCCAAATAAATTTGTCAACTTTATGGCAGGTCTAAAAATCTACAAACTTAATGGTGGTGATGGCGGCAGTGCCAACAAGGGATGCAGTAGGCGGTACCGGCGAAGGCGGTGGCAGGCAGTGCCGGCGAGGGACGTGGTGGAAGACGGTTGCAGAGAGGGTGGCTCGAGGGTGGTGGAAGATGGTTGCAGAGAGTGTGGCTCAAGTCATATGAAAGCTCCCATATGCGTAAAAAGCGGTTAATTAGACTTCAAGGATAAAGTTGGAAAAACAGGCCCTTTTAAGTCTTACGAAACATCAATTATGTTTCTAATCCTATTTGTGCACATGAAACTAATTTTAGTCCTATATAGGTCATTAACTCATGATTAAATGTTAATGGGATGAAGTTTTTAGGGCAGCTTGAAAAATACTCCGTATGTTTAACCAAATTGTGAAGTACTCCGTAATACTTACGATTAATAGCTAAATATATCCTCAACTATCATGAAATTCACAAATCTATCTCATACCTTTACTTTAATCAAAAAAGACTCAAACTTCAACTTTTCTAACAATTACACTTTCAATAGATGAATTAGTAAAATTAAGAACAAAATCATATTTATATTTCATATTCTTTCAGTTCTTTCTAGTTTTAAGTTTACGAACTTGTATTGCTTGTATCTTATTGGTATTACAATTTGCAAATGTTTACTTTTGAAAAAAAAAAAACAAAGATGAAAAACATAATTGTTGAAAAAGATTAAGTTTAAGTACTTTTTTTAATAAAAGTGAAAGAATAGGATAATAGTAAAATAAGCTAATAATCCTAATACTTATTTTTTCCCGCAAGTCAGTAACCCAGATAATCCCATATACTAAAAACCTCAATTTTATACTTTTCACTTTTTGACGATAGTATTATTGATAAGATTATACAGTATGTGCAAGAAAACAGTTGCATTTATCTCGATAGTGACATTCTAAAGGTATGTAATAGCCGTACTATACCCAATTTGCATTCTTTCCAATTTCGGGAAGAAATATAAGAGCCACAATATCGTGACTTCAATTCATAGCAAAAATATCCTACATGGGCCACATGCCCACATGGGTATTGACCATGATATCGAAATTATTACCTATCGAAACGACCCATGCCTATTCTTGAACAAAAAAATGACAATAAACGACCAATGCCTATTCTTGAACAAAAAAATGACAATGTATCCCAAGTACTGCCCGGACAATTAATTCCGAATATATAAATTGAACTTTAATTAAGGGTTATCCAGTACCGCCCATGATATATTTGATGAAGGTACTTCAGAGGTCATTTACACTTTTACATAATAACTTCTCATTGGAGTTATTAAGATTCAAACAAGAGACTTATCTCTTGTGTCAGACTTTACTACTGGTTGAGCTACGTCCACCGACATGTGTATTCTTAAAACAAAAATGCTACTTGTACGTGTCTGCTTGCACGCTCGTTTACACGTCAACTATAATTTGTTTGTACACACAATTTGATTTTCATTTTAATATAAGAAATTGTTTATGACCCCAAATTGTGTGTGCACAGCCAATTCGCTTTTTCGTGATCATAATCATGGACAAACCTTCTCCTCACATATTAAAATTGAAAATTATATCCCGTACAAGACACAAGTTAAATACTAGTTATTGATAATATCTAATCATACATATAT